CAGATCCAATTAGAATATGCAACTGAATGTGAATATCAAGTTTTATATGTATATATGTATGTATATTTGTGAAATGTGAATATCAATTTTGTCTGTATATGTAAAAGAGTTGAATTTAATTTACATTTAACTCGTTTTAACGCAATTCTTAGGTCACGTTTATATATAGTAAGCATTTGCGCTGACATATTTAACATTCTTATTAGATAAACAGTCGTAAATGACTTTTGCGATTACATAATCACATCTATATTTATATAGTTTGTAACGACTAATAACTGTGAGTAAATATTTGAATGCGATAAAAATACATTTGAAAGCGTGCCCAAAGAGCGCTGCAAAGGTAAACAAATCAGAGACTCAGACTCGGATAACAGATACCCTTAAGATGCATAAATTCAACTCGACTGACTGGCTGGCCAACTGCCCGAGTGACTGGTTAAATAATTCGCTTGATTACAAGATCAAGTCCAATTCGAATTGCTGCAGCTGCTGGCGCTGCCTCTGCCTCTGCTGCCGCCTCTGTCTCTGCTGCTGCTTTAACTGTAGCTCGAGCAACAGGTACACGTGAGTCCCGTCTCTCACGTGGGCCGTGCAATCGCGCCATTTCCGTTAGCCTTGCCAATTTGAGCGCATCTAAGCAGCCATGCACTGAGCGAGAGAGGCAGAGAGTTTCCCAACCGAAATGTCAATCCGAATCCCAACTCGAAACGATCCAATAAGCATATGCTGTTGCTCAAATCACATGTCTAATCAGCAAAATATGCGCTTATTGGTTAAAGCGCAGGCGGTGCACACGACATGCGGGCTATGCTCACGTTGTATTTGGTGGGGGTGAGGCAGTGGGGTGTAACTGTGAAGAGGTTGGGTGGGGTTGCTTATAAGCTGTTACACTACTGCTGACTACATTGGCTACACTTGCCCTGCCTTCCTCTCTCTCTCTCTCTGTGTGTGTGTGTCTGAGTGAAAAAGACGTCAGATTGTTACGAAACAACGCCAACGTCGACGTCGACGTCAAAGCCAGCAGCGCAGAAGCAACAACAACGTAATATTAGCTATCGGCAGTAAACGGCCGCTCAGCCATCAGTTAGCTAGCAAATGTTGCTCGCCCCCGACACACCCGCACCCCCTCCCATCCCCTTCCACCCTCCCTCCCTCCCTCTTGGCCAACAACACCACAAAGAGGGTTGTCAGGTTATAGCAAAGCGAATGGGCTATTTATACTTGATACTGGACGGACGCTGGCGCTGATCACGTGTCGCGAAATGTGCAGCCGACAGTGCAACGCTCCCGCGACAACGGCTCACATGTTCGCGACTCGAGTCCGCTATGGAAATGAGCGTGTTTCCTACTTTTTGCGCTTGATTTAGAATTGTTATTGTCGCTGCTGTTGCTGTTGTTGCTGTTGTCATTCTCATTCTTATTCTTATTCTTATTGTGATAGCAGCGTGACGAAAAGTGCTGAAATGGTGTATATTGGTTACGCTGCTGCAGAGAGAGAAACATTCGACTGAGACTGGAGTAAGCAATCCAATTGGATCTGATCAGATTCGCTTGAACACTAAATGAAGTCTTTGCCTGATGGGTGAGCAGGAGAAAGATTTAGTGGGAGTGCGCCCCTTGATTTTACAACAGTAAATAAACATTTAGTTAGAGTCCAATTGGCAAACATATGTTCATGGAGAGAAGTTGGATTTGTTGGAATTTCATCTAATAAGACTATCTTTACCGAGTGAATTAGATTTAGTTAGAGTGTCTATCCAAGTAAAATATTTATATGTAAAATAAATTATTAATTATTAGATCATAAGATTTGATTTTACTACAAATAAAATTAATTAACTAATAACAATGTCAAATAGGAGAAAACTAAACCATATTCTGGTTATATAAGATTAACTAGAATATTATTTGAATAAATATTACTTAAATATCTTTAGACGTACATATGTCTATTTTACATAAATAAAATAAAATATAATATATCATTCATTTAATTTAAATATTTATATGAATATATTTCGAAGCAAAATAAAGAATTTTTTTTTAATTTTTTTGTGCACCTACATGAATGTATATAACATAATAAATATATTTTACAAACGTATATTTAACGTAAAAAATTATAAAAAGAAATTATTATTCAATTCTATACACATATGTATATATTAATATAAAACTAGTTCAAAGAAACCAATTTTAAAGAAATTATTTTCATATACATAAAAATCTTTAACAAATGAATTAATAATTGTTTTATGTAAACCAATAGTTTTATAAAAAATAATAATAATAATTTAAAGTCGAATCAGGAATATATTTATGTCTATATATACATCTAAATTATTGCTTTATACATATAAAAATTTTAATTTAGTTTATCTTAATCCACGTTATAGAGACTATATTTAATAAATTTCAATTGCGAATTTACTTAATAAATATTTTGTATGAATTTTTAATGAATTAATGAATTAATATGTTTAACTATTGCTGTAGCTTATAACTAAACCTAGGCGCAATTTCTCACAGTGTATAAATTATTGACAAGCAGCAAAAACTGGAGAAACAAATTATTTAAAATTTTTGACTCACGCTGCAATCAACTGAAATTACGAGAATTTTATTATGCATTCAGCTTTAAAAAATTACAAAATCCAAAAAGCGAAAACAAGAAGAAAACAAAACGAAAGAAATAAAACAAAATTCTTGAGCTCTGAGCGTATGAATCGAAATACAAACATACATATATACATATGTACATATTTATATATGTATGTATGTGTGTGTGTGTGTAATTGGCTCTTTTGATAAGTACAGCTCATTGCTTTACAGGGTATCATAAGGTTCGGGTCGAATCGGTTAGGTAATAATTAATGTTAATTTGAGCTATTTCCATATTTATACTTCTGAATATTCAACTCTGTGAAAAGACGTAAAAGCTTTGTCGCTCGACGAGTACGGGAATTATGCAATGCCTTCAGTTGTTCTGGGCTTTACGAAAGTTCCGCTTTATAAAATGTGCACAAACATGTGAGTGCAAGTGCGAAAGAGAGGGCGACAGTGTGCAAGAGTGTGTGTGTGTGCGATAATAGCGCATGAAATGTAGTCAAGAATTTGTTATTCGAAACAGAAATGGAGCACATTATATACATATAGATGTAAATATGGATGCAGTATATAGGGCGAATTACTGGGCTCTTATATTGGTATTATTGATAGGGGTATGACAGTGTTTTGATTACATAATTATACAAAATATAATTATAGTTCCTGAGGGAAAACACAAAGGAAGAGAGAGTTTATGTAGGCTATAAGGG